CCTTGTGCGTGGGGATTCCCGCGGCCCTGGCCACTACCCGGCCTGCCCCGCGGCAAGATGGCGGCTTGAAGGCAGCTGGCAGCGGCGGAAAGTTTGTTGTGGGATTGCAATAGTCGGGCGGGGAGGCTAGCATGGAGTAAGGGTGGAGGGGAGACTAGTTCTGGGGTTGAGAAGAGGAGATGGAATGGAGGAAGGTCCAAGGCGGCGAGAAAAAAGGAGATGGAGTGGAGGAGAGGGGGGCCTAGGATCCAGTGGAACCCAGGGGAGGGGATTTGTGTCGGGGAAAGCCAGATGTAGTTGTTGTGCAGGTCTGGAGAAACAGAGTCAGGAATTGAAGGAGAATTTCATGGTCAAGAGTAAAGAAGCCTGGAGCGTGGGACAGAAGTCCGACTGCACCAAGCCAGTGGGAGGGGAAACGGGATCTTGCTGTAGAGGGGGATAGTGAGGAAGGGAGGGAGAGAGATCTGGGGGATACAGGGCAGGTCTGCTAAGGAGGGAACTAAAGCCAGTCAAATGACCCTCTTCCAGGCTTAGATCAGCCTTTCCACAGTTCCTGTGGCAGCATCTGCCCCAATTTCAGCTGAAGATTCAGGGGCCCCAGGGACTGGAAGAAATCACAGTGCCTACTCGGAAAGAAGAGTTGCCCCAGCCCAACCCCAGAGCGGGTAAGGTGGCCTTCAGTGACAGGTTTCTGGCTGGCATGCTCCCCGGGAACAGGATGCATGGGCTTAGAATGATGCTGAAAATCATTTAGTCTGAGAAGATTGCTCTTCTATAGAGGTTGTCGTTTGTCTGAGGTCCCTAAGTTAGTGTTTTGCTTAGATTGCAGGCTGACTTTTAAGAGTTGGTGTAGAATTGAGTCTTGTGTGCCTTCACCTGTGCAAGCAAACTTGGACAAGGGCCTAGAAATCAGGCTGAAGGCATTTTAACACATCCCTGTCACAAGCAGTTTCCTACATGCTCACTGTTTCTTTTCAATTTCCCCATCATATCTTCAGTTTGGCGTCCTACCTGGAAGTGGAGATTTGTGGGTGACAGATGACAGGGAGTCATGAGGAAACAAATTCTGATGGTGTTCACTGACCATTTAGGTACCTGCTGTCAGTGACTCCTGAATTTATTCTTGCTGTGTGTCTACTTTTGTTATTCTCTTTTGGTAAGCAGGGCTCATTAGTGTTCCTGTGGGAATGTGGATTTTGGTGGGGATATCAGAAGTGAGAGAAAGGCAGGTTGGGATTAGGGAGAAGAAACCTAGATCAGCTTATATAAGAGGTCAAGCTGACTGATGTAAAGGCCTGGGAATGTTCATCATCTCTCTGTCCTTGAGACCCCTGATATTTGAGAGCTGCTTTACAGTTGGACCAGTGTGAGGACAGAAGAAAAGCATTTTGGAACTTGCCCTTTTCTGGTAGTTTTCTTCTCTCCCTTTGCATTCTCCCCATCAAAGCACTTTAAAAGATCCATTCACTAGCCAAACTAAGCATGGCCTGAGGGGTAGTGGCCTTGGCAAAAGAATGGGGACAGGAGCCAGAGAACATAGTGAATGTGGTCCTCACTTGGGTGCCCTTTAGTTATGCCCAAGCTGGATTTGGGAGCAGACTTCTTATTGAAGTCTCTGCTTCATGATTGGACTGGGAAGTCTGGTTTGATCTAGAACTCCTCATTAACCATTTGCTTGCTACTACCCCTCATCCCCACCAAAGTCCTACTCCAGACAGAACAATCCAAATCATTGTTACTAGGCCAGCTTCAATACCTTCAAGTATCTGAAGAACTGATGATATTTAGCTTTGACTTCATTTCTAGAAGGTCCAGAACCTTCTTTTACTGAGAACAATTTGTGCCCATTTGGAAATTGTAATTGTAATCATCCAAGGATAATGTGGTGAGTACACAAAGCAGATAATAGCACTGACTGAGCCAGGCCCTATAACTTGTGCCTGTAGTCCAAGCTCCTTGGGAGGCAGAGACAGGAGGATTGCTTGAGGCAAGGAGTTTGAGGCTGCAGCGTGCTATTATGGGCTTCTGTGAGTAGTCCCTGTACTCTAGCCTGGGCAGTATAGGAGATACAGTCTCTAAAACAAAAACCAAAAAGCACTTACTTGGGCTAGGCTGTCTAGTTCAAATCCTAACTTTGCCATTTGTAGCTCTGTGACCTTTAGCTCTGTACTTCAGCTTTCTCATCTGCCAAATGGGGATGGTAAAAGTACCTATCACATAGAGTTATTGTGAGGGTAAATTAGTAAATACATTAATATGCTTAATCAATGCCTGACAGTAAATATTAGTTATTACATTAGTCAGATCTCAGCACTAATTTCTGCTTCATAGTTGAACCTACTGTCTCTTATGGAGGATCGGTACTGGTTTGGGCTGCTGGGTAATAGATGAGACACAGCTTTTGGATAGTATGGGGTTTTTTTTTGTAGTGAGAATATCCTCATTAAGCAATTTAAAGTGATGTTAAAATGCCAGTGATTTTCTGTTCAAAGCTGTGAGGCTGTTGAATTATCTTCTTTACATTTGAGTGGGACACATTCTCAATAACCTTCTAGCTTATTGAGCATATTCTATACCTGGGATTGTTGTAAGTCCTTTACGTGTATTCGCTAATTTAATTTTCATAACCATATGAAGTAGTAATGTTATTATTCCTACTTTACAGATGAGAAAATGGAAGCAGAATGGTCAAGCAATTTGTTTAAGGTCATCTAGCTAAAAAAAGTGACAGCTGGGATTTGAACCTAGGCAATCTGGCTTTAGCAATTGAGCTTTTTTCTTTTTTCTAAGATTGATATGACATTAACTTTTAAATATGCCCAGTGGCAATTTGTATCTCTTGTTTGTTTGACTATATTGTGGTTCATGTTTGTTTATCATGATGGTTAGATGTATACCCATATTGTAGTAAACATTTTTTTGGTTATTTAAAGAACTTTTTTTTTTTTTTTTTTTTGAGTTGCAGTCTCATTCTGTCGCCCAAACTGGAGTGCAGTGGCACACTCCCAGCCACCGCAGCCTCAACCTGCTGGGCTCTGGTGGTCCTTCTGCCTCAGCCTTCCAAGTAGCTGGAACTACAGGTGTGTACTACCACGCCCGGCTAATTTTGTAGAGACAAGGTCTCGCCAAGTTGCCTGGGTGGGTCTCGAACCCGCAGGCTCAGGCATTCCACTTGCCTCGGTGCTGGGATTACAGGCTGAGCCACTGAGCCCGGCCTAAAAAACTTTTAGGGACTGAGCTCTTCGTCACAGCCCTCTCCTTCCCCTCAAAAATAGTATTTGGTGCAGGGAATGTGGTGAGCGAGTCTGCTGTAAGGTGTTAGCAAAATCTGAGCTCTCTTCATGATTTAACTTGGCTATGTGATTCAACCTTGGGGCTGGATTGGGTGGGCAGAGTGACATTAGGACTTACTCTAAGCATCCCTTAAGGGGCGGGGGAGGGCATGTTTATTAATGTTGATGTAAATACAAGGCTCTTTTCTAACTTTGATTTCTGACATGAGCAGTTGAGTAGCCACAGTAGAAATTCATAGACAGTCTGGATATAATCTTTCTTTTAAAAATAGCAAGTAGAAAACTGCACAGAAAAAAATAGGTGGCATTTTAAACAGCCTCTCCCCTCAGCTTGAGGGGAAAATGGAAAACAAATGTGCTGCTGAACCCATGCTGTGTGAGGAAGGCCCTGGCTGCACTCACCTGTCTTTCCCTGTAGCCAGGCAGGAGTCCCAGTGCAGCCTTGGGGCAGAGGCGTGTCAGTGGCTTGATTGACTGGCTTTCCTTTGCCCTGTATTTAAGAGTCACTCTTCCCCTCCTTCTGAGTCATGTCCTGTCTATTTAACACACCCTCAGGGCCCATCTTTTTCTTTAGTTAAATGACTCTCCGCCCTGCCTTCAGAGCAGGCACGCGCCTGGTGTCTTACCAGATTTCTGGGGAATTGGGGGCCTAAGACTTTGGGCCTTCCCTAGGGACTCTGACCTGGCCCTGTGATGAACTTTTTTGTTGTGGAATCTGATTCTGAGAGGAAGTCAGCATCTGTCTGTCTTGCTCCCCTCTGCCATGAACCCAGGAGCCACATGTCTCAGGAGAGTGCTTTATCCTGGTTGAGCAGCAGTCACCATGCTGAAACGTGTTCACTCTGTAGAACACACCTTTGTTGCATTGGTAGAAGTCCCCAGACTTTTTGGATTTGGGTCACATTTTAGGAAATGATGGAATTGCAAGGTGAAAACTGATGGATTTTGAGCCGATTCTCCTCTACCGATTTCTTTTCATTGTTGTGTAAATAATTTCTTCTCATAATGCTCCTTACTCATATATTATCTTCGAATTCAATCCCTTCACTGTATTTTGTTCATGAACCATATGGTTCGTGGTTCATGTTTCATGAGGTTCATATTTTGCACTACTGTATTTGTAGCATTTAGGATAGTGTTGGCATAATGGGTGCTCTTTGATTCATGTAGAATGAATGAACTGTGGTGGGTAGTCTCTTCCCACTCCAGTCTATCTTCCATGCTGCTGTCAAAATTATTTTCCTTTTAAAAATGCTTCCCTTAGAAATGCAAGGGGTTGGCCTGGCTCGGTGTCTCAGCCTGAAAACCCAGCACTTTGGGAGGCCAAGGCGAGTAGATTGCCTGAGCCTGCAGGTTCGAGACCAGCCTGGGCAACTTGGTGAGACCGTGTCTGTACAATAAATCACACACAAAAAACCTAGTCAAACGTGGTGGCGTGCATCTATAGTTCCAACTACTTGGAAGGCTGAAGAGGAAGGATTGACTGGTCATGCCCAGCAGGTCAAGACCAGTGGCCATGAGCGTGCCACTGCACTCCAGCCTGGGCAAGGGAGTGAGACTCCAACTCAAAAAGAAAAAAAAGAAATGCAAGGGGTTTTTCCTTATTTAAGTTAAAATCCTTACTCTAGCTTGGCATGCAAAAAGGCTCTTTATACTTGGGCCCAAATCCAACCCTTTAGCCTGAGTTGCTGCCTCTGCACATGGTCTGCCCAGTGCCTCCTTGCTCTTGAATTTCCCACTGCTGTCGAGCCTGCTGTGGCCATCTGTTACTTTATTCTTCTTTGCCTGCACCCTTCCTGTGTTCCACAGTGCTCACCTCTGTCTCTGAAACTGCTTATCCCCCTAAGACTCAGCTCCTTTGTAACCTCTTGTGAGATGCCTCCCCTACTTTCCTTTCCTCTTCTTGGCCCCTCACAGCACTTTGAACCTCTCTTCTGGCACATACCATGTTGTGTGGTGAGGTCTCTTTACGTGTCTATTTCTTTTTTTCTTTCTTTTCTTTTATGTGTCTGACTGCCTTTAGAAGAGGGACTGTCCCTGATTGTGGAGTGGAGGGGAGTTGGTGGAGGGACATTGGTGAGCAGTATGAAAGAGTCTGATTTTGGAGCTAGGCAGTCCTAGTTTAACCCTGACTCTGCCACTTAACCATTTCTATAACTTTGGGAAAGTTCCTTTCTTTGTTTAAAATGTTTTATTTTTTTAGAAGGCAGGATTTATTAAGAGGACAGAAAAGCTCCCACGGAGAGAGGGGACCCGAAGGGTTTGCCCTGGGCAAATTTCTTAACCAGTAGTCTCATCCCCTCCAAAATGAGGGTGACATTATCTTTTCTGCATAAGTATGAGCATTAGAAATGAGTTCAAGCTGAGTGCAGTGACTCATGCTTGTAATCCCAGCACTTTGGGAGGCAGGGGCGAGAGGATTATCAGCCTGAGCAATATGATGATGAGCCTTTGTCTACAATAAATCAAAAAATCATCCGGGCATGGTGGCATATGCCTGTGGTTCCAGCTACTTGGAAGGCTGAGGTGGAAGGATCACCTGAGCCCAGCAGGTCAAGGCTATGGTGGTTGTGAGCGTACCACTGCACTCTAGCCTGGGCAACAGAGTAAGACTCCAACTAAAAAAAAAAAAAAAAAAGAAAAAAAAACAATTAGTTCACAGCACGTAGCTTGGTGCCTGGCTTCTAAAGGACACTTGGTAAATATCTGAATGAATCCCATTTTGAAAAACTCCGAATAAGAAAAGGCTTTGTCTTATTTAAGCTAGAATAAGCCTTTTGATTTCTGCTCAGCCTGTAATCTTGCACCTTTGGGAGGCTGAGGTGAGTGGATTGCCTGAGCCCGTGG